CAGCATGAATGGAGAGCTTGTCCTCTGCCTCCTAATCTTGATCTGCAGAGGCTGATGACTACCTGTGCAGTGCTGGGCGTCCAGGAGGCACAGGGGAGCCCGTTCCTGGGGCCCCAGGGTCTTCACCTTAAAGCAGACCTGAGTTTGGGTGGGGTGATTGGGGATTGCAAGGTGTGGAAGGCATGCCAAGATTTCGATCTGGCTTTCTTCCCACAGGGGCAGCCATGCTGGGTCCCTTGGTCTGCACTGTCTGGAGTCGCGCCTGTGCAGGCCCAGAGGCAGCAGCTATTCAGACTGCATCTGTGTGTCTGGGGGAGGTGCCCTCAGAACCTGATCTGGACAGTCTCTTAGGAAATGAGAGTTTTTGCCAATGGAGTTCTTCCCCAAGCCCTCAAGTGCACGCCGTTTCAGGTTCCACTGTCAGGAGTCCCTGGGTTGACACCTGGGCCTCTCTCCCGCCAGCTCAGCTTCCTGAATACTTGGGCCTGGACTCTGGTCCTGGGCTCTTAGGACCCAGCGGGGATTCAGGCTCTTAGGACCAGGGTCCGGGCCAGCTGGTCTGTCTGCTTCCAGCCGCATCCCCCCTGGGCATCCTGAAATCTTTTTCTCAAATTCAAACATTCCTTTCTAGGTATTGCTTATTGCCTACAGAATAAAATCCAGATTCTGAGGGCCTATGAAGACTTGGACCTAGTCCAACCTCAGGTGCAAACCTGACATGCTAGGGCCCAAAGGCCCTCACCGTGTCCATACCCAGCTATGCTTGGCCCAAAGCCTTAAAGCCTTTCTCGGCATTGCTGCCACAGTGGCTCTCCAGGTCCGCCTTGTGTCACTCTTCTGCTTTATGGCCCTGTGTCCGCTGCCTCTCTTGGCCACAGCCCAACCTGTAACTTAACCTTCCAGGCCCAGCAATTTACGGACTGCTGGGTACACAGGTGGTACATACTTTGTGTCTGGAGACCACCTGGCCCTGCCTGCCCTGGCCAGGGCTTCTGGGCACCTGTAGCAGCAGCTGGAGCTGAGCTGGAGCCTTTTGTGGGGCCTATCCCAGGGCCGAGGCGATAATCCCCTCCTATTAACCACCAGCTGTTGCCAGGGCTCGGGCGGCCGTTCCTGGAGTGGATCCGATAGCCTCCCCGTGGACTGAGAGAGCCGGGTGTGCACAGTGCAGGGGTGCGCCAGCAGCTGATGTGGGGGGCTGGCTGCCGAGTCGCATGAGGCCCCTTAGGGCTGAGATCCTCCTCCTGTGCCTGAGCCCTGGCCATGGGGGATCCTGAAAATTATACAGAGAGAAAAGCCTCGTCCAAGGACGCTACAGTTGACAGAGAGAACACTACATGTCTGTTTGCCAGATGGGTTTAATTTTAGGTGCCTGAGCCTCCCAGCGTGGGCGCAGAAGGGAGAGTTGTTTTGAAATTTGGAGTGTGAGGTGCATTAGCTGAGCTGCTGTGAGCTGCTTGAAGGCCGGCCATGCTGATTTATTTTGCTGTGCGTTACCCTGTGCCAGGCATGGTTCCAAGCATGTTGCAACTTAATCTTTCCAGCCAAGCTGTGAGAGGAACAGTGATCATCCCCATTTCGTAGGCAAGGAAACAGAGGCAAAGGAAGATTAAGCCGCTTGTCCAAGGACACAGGTGGGAAGGAGCTGAGCTGGGATTCGACTCCAGGCCACCTGGTCCCAGAGGCCTTGCTCTGACCTTGGTGCCCCACTGCCCAAGGACAGAGGTGACCTGCAGACTGGACGTGGCCTACGGATGTGTTTCTTCATCTGTGCATTCATAAATGAATGAATTCATTCATTCATTTGTTTTTTATTGAGTTAGCTGTCAGCAGTAAAGGTGAGAAGATAGCACTTAAAAATCTCATTTCCAGGCTCTTGGGCAGGCCTGTGGCTCTGAGGATTCTGGCTCAGATTCCCCCACGGGAGCCATCACCTGGAGGTGAAGTGCCATGCCCAGGGCCACCCTGCTCAGGAGAGGCCACCCCCCTGAGCCCAGGCCTATGTGGTTATTTGTCACACTACCTGTCCCATTCCTGCAGGGCCTGACCCCTGGGTTGTTGCTGTGTCCCCTGCCAGACAGAGGTCTGGATTATCCATCAAAGTGAGACACTGGCCTGTGTCTCTACTCTGGGGTCTCCTGCTCCCTGGTCTCTCCCCAGGCCTCCTGGCCTGTCCCTCTCTGGTATTTCAGACCCACCAAGATGGGCAAAGCATTAGCCACAGGAGCAAGTCCTCAGTGAGCCGAGCTGTTCCAGCATTCACTGCACCCTGGGCCTTTTGAAGTCCGTGATTTCACAGACTAGGTGTTGAGTCTGACAGACTTAGTTTAGTGTGTTAAGATTTCACAGTTCAGAAGATTACTGGCGTCTTCAAGTATTTGCTGGAGCCCTAAGTGATGTGCCGGGCTCGCCCGTTAGTCTGTTATTTAAATGCAACTCATCTAAAGACCCAGAAATCCTGCCTCTGCTTCTGAGGGCTTTCCTTTTTTCTTTCAGTTGTGCTGCCCTTGATTTGGGAACAATTGAGACAGCACAGTTTTTACCTAAAATACTTAGTGAAAAATGTTTTGTGAAGTTATAGCTCTCTAAAAATAATATGAAAGGTAGTGTTTGTATGAGTGTGGCAAAGGCTGTGAAGTTTCTGGGGGGCCATGAGGGATGGCAGAGGAGAGCGTTAAAATTTTGCTGTACGCAGCTTTGCGTTCGTTTCACTTGTTACAAGTTTTTTTCTGTTAAGATATCTAATAGAATGGAATTACATTAGAAAGTTTTAATGAGAATGCCACTCCGAGAACAGTCTCGGGAGCACTCTGTGGACGGAGCCTGCGAGGGGTGAGCATGTGGCCACGCAGACCCCCGTGCAGGAAGCGGCGTCCTAGAGCGCGGGCTCTCCAGCTGCCTTCTCCAGATGTTTCCCCACCCGGCAGTGCAGTAGGGGCCGTGGGGTCTGGAAGGGTGGTCTTTCAGGAGAGCGTTCAAAAGAGGCCGGAGCTCTTGGGTCACTCTGGAACCTCTGTAGGACCAGGGGCTGCCAGGAATTCAGCAGGGGGCACTTTGGGAGTCCCCGGGTCTGGAAAGGAAGGAATAGGCCAGCCAGTCCAGGAGAAATAGAGTGTTAGCGACACACGTGTGAGCCATGGATGCGACCTGAATGTTTTTAGCCACATTTAAAAAGGCAAGCAAGAAACAAATGGACTGAATGTTAACGATATATTTTATTTGACGCAGTTTATCCAAAATGTTGTTTCAACATACAATCAATATATAAAATTATTACAGATACTTCACATTCTTTTTTTTCATACCAAATCTTCTAAATTCCATGTGTACTTTCCACTTGTGGCACATCTCGAGTCAGGCCAGCCACGTTACAGGTGCCCAGCAGCCACACGCGGCCGGTGCCCAGCACATCGGACGGCACAGGAGGAGACTCCTCTGAGTCAGGAGGGGAAAATGTCTTTGCAGCCAGCAGCTAGACGCTGCCTGAAGCAGCTGCCCTGCCCAGTCTGTAACTACAGAGGTGTCTTTGAAACAAGTGGCCTCTGTCTCCTGGAAAGTGCTGGCAATAGACACGCACCTGCAGGCTGAGGGGGAAGACGGGAAGGCTGCGAACCGAAATGTGAACTAACACGGGGGTTTCTCCTGAGAGTGCGCCATGCATGCTTTTATTTTCTTTTGGCTTTTGGGTTAGAATTTTCTCGTGTGTGTGCATTAAAATTACTTTATATACGTACACATATTTCGGTAAAAAGCAGGTTGAAGGGGCATGCTTCTGCCGGGACCTGTTTTCATGGCACCCATGAGCTCTTAGGCCTTTGGTGTCAGCGTGGTTATTTTTAATCTCCTGAGCCTCACCAGAGTAAGAAGTTAGGAAATAAAGGTGCTCATAGCAACCAGCTCGCCCACATCCCACGTTCCCCTCATTAAGGTATTGTGCCAAATGCTTTGACTTGTAATGAAAATATTGTGACTAGTAAGTGAAAACATTGTGACAAGCCAGAGAATTGAGGGTTGCTATGGAAACCAGCCCTCTCCTTTGTCCTCCCGAGGTGGGCTCAGCTGAGGGGGCTGCTGTAGGCCGGTCCGCTTTCTGATTTGGCTCGTTTTTGGTGCTGTCATTCAGCTGCGGAAGAGTCCAGGCACTCAGGCGTGGCATCTTGGTTCACCCTTTCTTGCTTCCAAGGCTGCATTCAAGCCCCAGTGAGAGCAAAGCTGTGTGTGTGTGTGTGTGTGTGTGTGTGTGTGTGTGTGTGGCAGGGGTGGGAGGGGCTCGGCAGTTTTAGTTTTCAGAAGTGACGGTTGGTTGTTGGCAGATGGCTTCCCATCCTCCAGGCAGTCACTCATGGACTGGCGAGTGGACAGGCCCGATTCTATAGGAACCCAGCCAGCCTTCCCTCTCCCAAACCTGTCGCTGCTTAAGCTTCATCCAGGGAGCTAGAAATAGAGGGTTTGCACCGATGTGTGGGAGCAGCCTCTCCTTGCCTTCCGTGCCCCTCCCGTGGCTGCAGGAGTGTAGCTCTGGGTGTCTGTGTGTGATGGACAGTGGATTCGCTGCCCAGTCAGGTCCCACAAGGCCACAGAGCTCAGTCATGGCCAGTGGGGAGAACCCTGGTGAGCCATGCAGGCCGAGAACAGGACCAGTGCATTTGTGAGAAAAAAGGAAGGGAGAAAAGCCCATGGGAAAAGTACGCCTTGCTTAATTTTGTTCCAGGCCAATCTTGATGGTAGAAATAAAAAAAAGAGGAGCTCTACTTCCACCCCAGCCTGGGACTTCTATGGGTGAGTTAGGACGGGGCAGGGACCCATCGTTGAGTCAGTTTCTCAGTGTCCTGAAAGAGCGGGAGACACTGGAGCCGACTCGCCATGCTCAGCCTGCCGACCCCAGGCAGTCGGAGAGCTCTTCTTGGCTGTGACCGGAACCTTCTTGGTGCGATGGGCTTTGCGGCCGCGTGTGTTGTGGCATACGCCTAAGTCTCAGCTCCTTCCCTCTCGCTGCACAGGGCCCCCAGATGCCGATGGCCCTCTCTACCTCCCCTACAAGACGCTGGTCTCCACGGTTGGGAGCATGGTGTTCAACGAGGGCGAGGCCCAGCGGCTCATCGAGATCCTGTCTGAGAAGGCTGGCATCATTCAGGACACCTGGCACAAGGTGGGCCCACCCTCCTGCTGGCCACACTCAGAGGCCACTGCAGCTGGCTAGGGTGGTTTTGCCCTTCCCCGTGCCTCTCCCCTTCAGGGGCCAGTGAGCTGCAGTGGTTACGTGGGTTCTGGGGCCCCATGCCTCCCACCACCCCAAGATGCCCGTCAGGATGGCCACACGCACCCTGCCATGCCACAGAGAGAACATTCATAAAACAGCCTCCGCTTCTTTTTCTTGGCAGAATTCTGCCACCCTGAGGGATCGCTTGCAGGTGCTTGGTCTTCTGTCAAGCCACCCATGGCCCGGCTCCTGAGATGATTAGGGCCGGGGCAGGGCTCTGTATTGCAGGGGATCTAGGGAGCTGGGGCCTAGCCAGTTTGTGGCCACAGCTCAGAGTGTAGAAAGGAAGGTATAGGGACACACTGTGTGGGGCCCTGAGGTTCCCCCGCCCAGAAGCGCCCCTGGTTTCCCTCGTGCTGGTTCAGAGGCTAAGCGCTCTGAGCTGTCTTGTGCCTCTGGCCAAGAGCTGTCCCCAAGAAGTGCTGCATGGCACATTCCTCCACTGGAGTCAGAGTTCAGGGTAACTTTGCTGGAGAATTTAGTGGTTAGAGATGCTCAGGTGTGTCCTGAGGCCAGCGGGGTTGCTCCCTTCCTGGCCATACACATCCTGCATAGTCTCAGTGGCACTGAGAGCTTGTCACTCGTCACTGGGGGCTCTACTGGGTATGAGTGGCCATAGGAGATCAAGATGACCAGGGAGAGGCCTGGCTCTGCTCAGGCCACTGTCCCCAGAGTACCCGGCCCCCATGCTACAGCCAGAGGCCTACAGGCTGCACGCCCGGCTCAGGGAGGCTCCAGGCCAGAAACAGTGGCCAGCCACCCCTCAGAGGAGCTGGCAACACCACACTCCTAAACGCCACTCCAGGGATCCAAAGCCTTTGGCCCTGACAGTCCCAACACACACTGGACCTGGGGACCCGGCAGGCTGATGGCTGAGGCAGGGCGCCTTTCCCCACAAGTATCTGGAGTCCCAGTGGAACCCTTGACTCAAAGCCCCTGCTCTGCGTCATCAAGACCTTGGGCCTCTGCTCTTATCCAGGGTCGGGGGACGAGCCAAGTCCCATTTGTCCCCTCTGTTAACGCATCTCTGGGTACTTCTAGGCCACTCAGAAGGGTGACCCTGTGGCGATTCTGAAACGCCAGCTGGAAGAGAAGGAAAAACTGCTGGCCACAGAGCAGGAAGACGCGGCTGTCGCCAAGAGCAAACTGAGGGAGCTCAACAAGGTACAGCCCAAGTGGGCTTAGAGATGGCTTGTCCTCCCCCGTCCTCTGAGGACCCCCGCCCCATTCACTGTGTATCCCGGGCTCTGAGATGCTCAGGCCTGCCTGGAACGTAGCTGGCTGTAAGGCCATTGAGTAGGGACTGCTGTTTATCTGCTGCCTAAAGAGCCAAGGGCCGGTGGCTCACCCTTGGCAGTGCTCGTGGCTCTACGAGGTGGTGTAAGAACGCAGGGAAGTGAAGCAAGGGCTTGGAAGTTAAGCAGCGTCAGTTTGTAATGGGGATGGACCAGACCTGGCTTTCACTAGACAGGTCCTGCAGTCACAGGCCAGCTTTCTAGGGGCTGTGCCTGGAAAGGAGGGTGCCCACAGTAGATTCAAGGTTGTTTTCTTGAGAATTGTGCAAAACCTTTTGGGGAGGGAGCTGGAGGGGCTGCTCTTCTCCCTTTTGCTGATGTCAGAGGAGGAATGTGCAGGGAAACCCTGGCTCCCCGCATCAGCGGATGGCGTGGCAGGTAGCATTTGCACTCTGAATGGCAATCGGTGATGGGTTGGTGCTGTCGTAGGACGGGGCTGATGGCACGTTGAGATTGTGTTGTGATCCATGGCATAGGGGCTGCTCTTCCCACCGCAGAATTCACCAGGGTCTTTCCCCACCTCTCTGCTTCTGAGGGTGGGCCCTGGTGCCCCAGCCTTCCTGGAGGAAGGGCAGGGTGAGGGGCCTCCTAGCCCTCTGGGACTGGTCAGGCCCTGTTGAAAGCCATCTTTGCCCCATGCAGCACCGCAGGCGTGCTCTTGCTCTCTCCCTGCCTCCCTGCCTTCTCCGTCCCGGGCAGCGGGCGCAGAGAGAGGGCCTGGATGGTGGACTGTCCGACAGTGTCTGGGCTACAGCCCTTCCTCTGGGTGCCTTTGTCTGCTCGAGCACAGAGAATTGGAAGTAAGGCAGGCTTACTTTTTGTCGCAAATTCAGGGTCACAGCTCTGAGCCAGATGGGAAGTTCACTGGGTGGAGGACGGGCAGGACCAGAAGACACACCTTAGATGGCCACTCTTTGATGCTGTTCCCAACCCCGCTGGGGTGGTAGAGTATCTCCCTGGCTGCATGCTCAGGGCAGCCTGGGATCCTCATTCAGTACCCAGCCTCCTCGGAGACCACTGGCCTTGCTTTTAGGTGAGGAGAAGGTCAACGGTGCATGACCTCCCTCCCACCCACGCCCTCCTCCCTAAGCCGGAAGAAATCCTCTTGGGCTCCCAAATGCTGATCTGTGAGGACCCCCATCAGGCTCTGCCAGTGGCCCCTCATCTTCAGACCTAAGTCTGCCCCTCAAGCCCTGGCTCAGCCACTCACCCTGCCTCTAGCCTCACCTCTTCCCTTTCCCTACCTGTGCCCCGACGTGCTGCGCCCTTTCTTGCCTCCTCTGGGGCTCTCCTCTTGCTCTTCCCTTGGCCTCTAATGCCCTTTTCCTGCTTAGATGTCTGGACATTGTCTTCTTACTCTGGCAGACTCAATTTGGTCTCCCTCCCTCAGGAGCCTTCTGGAGCTCCCGTGTTCTGTTCTGCACGGAGGTCATTGGTACAGTTAGGCATCACCTGGCTGCATCTGGCTCCTGTCAGCCCTCGAGCCTGGCAGGGCAGACGCTCTCTGGCGGTCTTGCCTGGCTCAGCCTAGCAGACCGCCAGTGAACAAGTGGCCACCGAGGGCCGCAGCTGAGGGGAAGCCTGGAAGCATTTCTGAGTATTTTACATTGTCTTCTTGCAAATAGTAAAATGTTTGTAGTCGATGCCTTTGGCTGTTTCTCTTCCCTATGCTCGTGCTCTCCGTTGAGAGTCCTGAGCAGAGCCGATGTGTTTACCTCATTCTTTTTTTTTTTGAGACGGAGTTTCACTGTTGTTGCCCAGGCTGGAGTGCAGTAGCACAATCTTGGCTCACTGCAACCTTCACCTTCTGGGTTCAAGCAATTCTCCTGCCTCAGCCTCCCGAGTAGCTGAGATTATAGGCATGCACCACCACACCCAGCTAATTTTGTATTTTTAGTAGAGACAGGGTTTCTCCATGTTGGTTGGGCTGGTCTCGAACTCCCGACCTCAGGTGATCCGCCTGCCTCGGCCTCCCAAAGTGCTGGGATTTTGGGACTGTGAACCACCGTCGCTGGCCTGATTACGTCATTCTTCTGGTAACACTGCAACTGCCCAGCACTGCTGAGGGAAATGATCCGAGGCAGTAAATTCCTGAGAGTGCGGCAGTTCCTCTTACCTTAATCCCCCTCGGGAGCTGGGGAGACGGATGGAACCTGTATTTCTTGTTCCAGTCCCTTCGACATGTTTTCTTTGTCCTTGTAGAGAAGTTTTTATAGTTGAAAAGAGTTTTCATTAATTCTGTTTCTTGGGTTCTGATGCTGAAGGCATGACCTGGACATACTGAGAAAGAACGTTTGGATCATCTGCCGTATCCGGGTCTCCCAAATGTGCAAAATCCCAGCAGAATTGGGTTCAAGGACCAGTCCAGACACTGTCTGCAGGAGTTGATGGGCTCAGACGCCCCTGAGAAGTCTGTCCTGGCTATCTGAGAATCTTTGGGGGGTTTGGGGAGTCCAGGCAGAGCTCCAGTGATGTAGCCAAGAAGGCACAACTTTCTGGAAAAACGTTCCAGCTGTCATCTTCCCGGGCAGCAGAACCTCTATGCTGAAGCCACGCCTCAGACTGGCCCCATCCTGGGCTTGGTCTCATGTTCTGGCTTTAGGGCCCAGAAGGAGATGGGGCTGTGAATCAGAAGGAGCCCCCAAGGCCCCCTGGGACCCACACAGAGTGTACCTGGGGGTGGGGTCATGGGAGGAGTTCCTGTTACCAGGCTTTCTTGGTGGAGGTTGCTTCCTTGCTTGGCTGGGGAAGCAGGTTGGAGGGCTCTCTGCAGTCCTCAAAGCTTACCCCGTGAGGAGCCCCACTACTCCTAGGGAACAGAGCCCGGAAGAAGCTGGGACAGAGTCACTAGCCGATGCTAGTGATGGTGCCATGCCTTGTCTTCTTGTGCACCGGACCTTTCCACCACCATCAGGAATGCTTTTCAAGAACATAAATCAGACTCTTGCAACTGAATTAAGAATTTGACAAGCCGAAGGAACCCTGGCATTCTGAGCTCTTTGAAGAAAAAGAAATCATAAAAAAAGAAAAAAGAAAAAGAGAAAAGAAACCATAGAGAGCTCAACAGCTGCACTGAGGACAAGTGACTTTTCTGTGCTCTTTAAAAAGCCCAGAGGCAAAGGAGGGGGAAAATGCCATTGAATCCCGGCGGCCTTGGGACCCTGACCCCTAGGAGATAGAGGTCTGCAGACCCTGAGCGGGGTGGACCTTGGAACTGCACGAGGCCTGCCTAGGGCTGGGAAGGGTGTCTCCAGGTGGCAGAGGAGGGCTGAGGATGACCCGAGTGTGGCTTCCCAACCTGCCATCCATGTGGCTGTGGGAATGCCTGGTCTCTCTGAGCTTTGGTTTCTTCATGAGGCTGGACCATCTACTTGGAAGGGCTGTTGTGTGGAAAACCTAGCAAAGACAGCGGCCTCCTCTCTGCTGGTGTTTGGAGGCTTCCAGCCATCCCCACCACACCCATCTGCCAGCAGTGGGCCGGTGGGGCTGTGCATGTTAGAGGAGGAAGTGCAGAGGGGTCCTGGAATCACTGCTGAGCTGTCCTCCCTTTCCCCAGGGGCTTCCCGACCCACACAGAGGGGCAGGCGTCCTCATTTTTCCCCTTTCTGGGAACCCCTTGTTCTTGTACAGTCCTAGGTTCAGGCCCCACCCCTGCCTCTTAGAGCTGCTCCCTAGCCTTGGAAAAGTGTGTCCTCTCCAAGGCTCTGTGACCTCAGCTTGGATAGGGATTGTAATCCTCGTCTTCCAGAGAGAATTAAATGGGACAGTGCTGGGGCTCAGTGTCAGCTTCTCCCGCCCCCTACTTCTGTAGCTAATCAGTGAAGCGGACCTGCAGGCTCGTGTGGGCCTCTCACCCCGGGCAGAGCCAAAAAGATGATTGTCTTTGAAAAGTGAGGCCAAGGGTCCCAGGAGGTCCCAGAGAGTGCCAGGAGCATGGAACAGCACCAGCACCCAGTGGCTCCACCTCAGGGTTCTTTCCCATCTCAGGCAAGAGGGACACTCTGGCCTTTGGGACGGGCCTCCCTACAGCCCTGGTCTGGGGAGGGGGTGGATTTCCTCACTCCTGACCCACTGCCCTGGTCGGAGCAGCCTTGACGCTCGTGGGACGCTTGTGCCCTGGTGGCCCAGGTCTGCTGTGTTTGTGATGTGTATTCACACCACATCGGTGCTGGACTGTCCAGGCCTGCTAGACAGGGAACACCCCCTCACCAGGGGCTCATTGTGTCAACCCCTTCCTTCAGTTGTCATCTTGCCTCCCTGTGACTTCTGGTTGAGCCATCCCTCCAGGATGACATGGACCATGGCCAGCCGTCCCATCCTGCTGTGTCCCTGCCTGAGATACCAGACACCCCGGACTCGGCATCCATGTTCATCTGTGGGTATCTGGCACTGATCAGAGCCGATGTCCCCCTGGGTGGAGGACAGAGCGACTGCCTGCAGAGACCCATGCCCTACCCCAGCCACGGCGGAATGGGCAGCTGGCCCCACCCCCACCCTAGCCATCAGGGCTTGCCGCCTTTCTGTCCTGACGAAGGCACTTGAGGAGAAGTAGGTGTCCCAGGGGACTGGATGTTGGTGACTGAGTCAAGCCGGGGTGTTGTCATCACAGCAGGGCCGAGCCAGTGCCCTGGAGAGCCAGGGACAGTACCGCGTGTCTCTGCTGTTCCTGCTGCGTGTGCCACCTCCACTGTGGCCAAGGCCTGACGTGGAGCCCACAACCGGCCAGGGCCAGCAGGGTTTCCAGGGATCCCTTGTCTGTCAGTGCTCCCGCTGCCGCTGGCTTGAGTCTGTCTGAGAACCCGGCCAGCAGGAGGGGTTTGTGCTCTGCTGTCCAGGCTCCCAGCCCGGGTGATGCTTTTGCTCCTTTCTGATAGGCTCCTGCCCCTGCAAGGCTCACCGGCCCCTCTCTCTGCTACTTTCCCCCCAGGAGATGGCAGCGGAAAAGGCCAAAGCGGCAGCTGGGGAGGCCAAAGTGAAAAAGCAGCTGGTGGCCCGGGAGCAGGAGATCACGGCCGTGCAGGCGCGCATGCAGGCCAGCTACCGGGAACACGTGAAGGAGGTGCAGCAGCTGCAGGGCAAGGTAGGCAGTGGCTGGCGGGGGCATGGGATGGGACAGAACCCAGTCCCGGTCCAGGACGGAGGGAACCAGAGAGGCCCAAAGGGCGAGACATGAGGAGTGGGTTGAGGTTGCCCACAGGGGTCTGTGAGGTCTGGTCAGGTTTGGGGGTCCAGGGGCTGTTGCATTTGGCTGGACAGCGTCTGGCAGTCCACTGTGTGTCTATAATGTTAATAGCCAGGGAGGTATGAAATACATTTGAAAGAACACTTTTCCAAAGAGCCTCGTCTCAAATGGCCAGCCCTGTTTCCCTACCTCCTGGGTGCCTGTGAAGTTGTCACCTTTCACGTGAACCTGGAGAAATGCTGGCTCTGTCTTCTTTCCACATGGTTGGGAGGATCCCATTAATACCAGAGGCCTGAAAATCGCACAGCTCTAGCGTGGGGCTCCAGGCCAGCCCTGGGGGGCTGCCCAGACTGGCCCTGTAGTCAAAGCCTGATCCCTGCCTTCTGAAACCTACCCCCTGCTCATAGTGGGCTCAACCTCCTCTCTGCTGCATGTCTCAGGACGTGCCGGAGGTCAGAGGGCAGGAAACGAGGCTTCCTAAGGGGGGTTAGAGGCTGTGGCGATGTACTTTGTCTTAGAACAGTCAACCATAAATTCTCATCAGATGGGTTTTATTTAACCCTATATGTCGTGAGTTACTTTCCAGTTTGACTCTGGCATAACATTATGTGACAAAGAAGAAAATAAAAATATTTTACCTAAAAAAAAAAAAAAGAACAGTCAACCATGTGACCTTGGAGGCAGATGTTAATGGCGCGTGTCAGAGACCCTGGCCTGAGTATTTAGCCTCGGGCAGGCCATGAGCAGTGGGGAGGGAGAGAGGCGTGTCGCTGGGTGTGGGGGGTCATGCTTGGCCTCGAGCCCCTGATGGTGGAGCCTTGCCATTTTCAGGCCTCTTGTTTTATGGGATCCTCTCAACCTCCAGGTGGAAAAGGTGGAGCCTTCTGGGGGTTTTCTTTTGTGGGCTGTGTCTTCACTAACCACGACTCAGAAGTCAGTTCTGTGTATGAGGCCGAGCTGCCTCTGATGCCCTTGCCCGTGACTTTCCAGATCCGGACTCTTCAGGAGCAGCTGGAGAATGGCCCCAACACGCAGCTGGCCCGCCTGCAGCAGGAGAACTCCATCCTGCGGGATGCCTTGAACCAGGCCACAAGCCAGGTGGAGAGCAAGTAAGCTGAGCTTCCTGCCTCAGCACCTTCCCAAGGGCTCTGAACGAGGAAGGCTTCATGAGGCTGCGGCCAGGGCAGCTGGCGCGAGAGCCAGGCACGGGCCCTACATGTATGCAGAGCCGTCCTGACCCTCCATCTCCTGTCTGGGTTATGGGCCCCTGAGTCTTCCAACAGGTGGCCCAGCGTCCCTGTGGTGGCTGGTGGTGGGCCTTGACTGTGCCTGGAGCACGGCCTCCTGCTCTGCAGCACCCTTGCTTCAGATGCGCTGGTACTAGGGAGGGTTTCCAGCACACAGGCCCCAGCCGCCTAGCGGGGTTCTCATTTCAGTGTTGTCTCTGAGCCACTGAAGCACTGGAGCCCATAGCAAGTGGGCCGGAGGGTGCACTTCCCCTCCAGAGTTAAGTACAGCTACACTTCTGCTTCTCTGATTAGAGCGTTACCACCCCAGTGGCGGCCCTCAGGAAACCCACTGCAGCGTCTTTTGTTGCACATTTCTTTGCCTTCTCTGGGCCCAAAGTGTCCTGCAGGGACTTGGCAGAGCTCTGTGTTATCCCCAGAGCCTCTGCTCTCACCAAGACAGGGGCTGACCACAGCAGAGTGCGCCGGCGGCACCCTTAGTCCTTATGCTGGGAGTCGGGTCAGGGGAAGTCCAGTGCGGGAGCTGGAGAGGGAGGGGAGCCGGGCCAAGTGTCTGTTTTGACTGTGGCTCCCTCTGGTGTGGAGTGAGATCCAGCAGCCACCTTCCCCTCTGCCTGTCCCCTCTGGGTCCCCTTCCTGAGCCATCGGCTGGTTGGAGGTTTGTGGCTGCTGTTTCCTCAAAAGCCACAGCAGAAGGCAAAGGGTGGGGACTGAGAAATGCTCTGGTGTCTCCCCACATAGGATCTGCTGTGGCCTCATTACTGGGGAAGGCTCTAAAGCCAGGAGACTTGTCACGCTGAGGCAGTGGCCCTGCCAGTCCAGAAGCTCTGGCTGGTGGGTGGCTGTCAGCAGCGGGATGTGTTTTCTCAGGCCCACTTCAGAGCTCCCAGTCCCTCTTGAGGGTACCACCCGGCCTCCCGCCTCCCTCCCAGGTCGCTTGAACCTTAGCCTTGTGAAGTATGGAACTGATGACCCCACAGCAGGCTTTGGTGTGGCCTCCCCCGTACAGATGAGGCAGCCCGAAGTCAGAGAGGTGGAACCTGCCACCCGCCAGGCAGCAGAGCCCAGCTAGCCTCAGCCAGGTTTCCCAGCTCCGCCTGGCCTGGTGCTGCATCCCAGGGTTTGGGACAGTCTTGTCTGGTGGTGTCCCTTGGCTGGACAGTCAGTCCTTGGCATTGAGGCAGCGTCTGCTAGCGAGGGAGTGGCATCCTGATCACACGCTTCACGCTGGAAAGGCAGGCCTCCAGCTGCCCCCTTTTCCTTTAAGTCTCCTTCTGGAAGTCCGGAACATTCCTCCCAGCTCCTGAGACCCAGCTTTTGAAGTGCAGTCCTGAAGGGTCTGTTTTGTAAGCACCTCAGGCCCTGGTTTCAGGCAGCCTCCCCAGCCTGGGCCTGGTCCAGTTGGCCAGTGAGAGGGCGCGTGGACTCTGTGGGCTGCTGCCTCCAGGGGGTCAAGGCGGGTGGGTCTTCGTCTCGGGGCTGGTTTGCAGCCAGAACAGTGTGTTGCCGTTTTCTGTGAATTTCTGGCTGTTTCTGGCAGGGGCTCCCGTGGGATGCTTTAGTGCACATTTGCTCTATGCTGTCTCTAGTTCATGCACTATATGGGTAAAACAGTGTCTTCAACAAAACACATGCTGAACCCCACGCAGCTGATAATGGAAAAGTGGCTTTGGTAATGGCTTCACGACGTGGGCAATTGCTTACTTACAAGAGAGCTGAAGTCCTGGAGGGAGGGCTTGGACCACCGATCCCATCACTCTTTTCTTTCCATCAGTCGGGCTGGTGACTGTCTTGCAGGCAGAACGCAGAGCTGGCCAAGCTCCGGCAGGAACTCAGCAAGGTCAGCAAAGAGCTGGTGGAGAAGTCGGAGGCTGCGCGGCAAGATGAGCAGCAGCGAAAAGCTCTGGAAGCCAAGGCAGCTGCCTTCGAGAAGCAGGTCCTGCAGCTGCAGGTGAGCCAGGGCAGCGGCCACCTCAGTGCCCTGTTCACTGCCCAGCAAGCCTGTCCGCATAGCAGGGATGGGTCCAGACTGGCCCTGCCGCACTGGGCACCCGTTTCTAGCCTTGACTGGGACAGATGACGGTGTCCGCAGGGCTGGGGCTCGAACTCTTCACCTTAGTCTCCTTGGTAGTAGTGATAGCTGGCAGCAAGTGGGAGCTTGCTGTGTGCTAAGCACTGTTCTGAGCATTTTACAAGCATTAACTCAGCCACTTTTCCTGGTAACCCTATGAGGTAGGCACTGGTAGTGTCTGCATTTTTATCCATAAGGGAGTTTGAGGCACAGAGAAGTTCAGCAACTACCTCAAGTTCACCCAGCCAGGACATGTCAGAAGCAGAATTTGAACCCCGAGTCTCACTCTGGAGCCGTGTTTTTCCTCCCATGCTTGTCCCCACTGTGGTACTGCAGCTCTGGAGCAGCCAGCTGAGCTCACAGGCTGTGGACACAGCCTCTGGCTTCAAGGCCAGTTAGGGTTTCTTCTTTCTCAGCCTCTGGGTGTGGCCTGGAGGCCTGTTTTCCCAGGAGGGTGCCTGTCCTCCTTCAGAGGGAGGACGATTGTCCCCCTGTCCCCAGGGGAACACAGGCAGCATGCAGTGTGTTTTCACAGCCCACAGGCCTTGTCTGATGAATTCCCGTCCCTCTGCTGGCCTGTGTTGGGCAGGTGGATCCCACATAGGGCTGTTACCCAAGGCACGAGGCACCTTCATGTCATGCCCACTTTGGGTTTAACTTTTCTGGATAACGAGGAGACCCCAGTGACCCCAGGGGCTTAGGACCCTTTTTCTGTCCCATCACTGAAGCCAGGCTGTGGTGCGTGGGGGCATTAGTGCTGCCTCTTGGAAGGAACTAGAACAGACACGAAATTTTAAGAGTGATGTTTGAGCGTGTACAAGGACTAAAAGAGAACGTGGACGAAGAAACAGTTTGAATTGAGGTGGAATTGAGATGGATAATTTGGTGTTTTCTGATGTTCGTGTAAAGCAGACCCACTCAGTACAGTGAGATGAGAAACTGTGGGGTGGGCCTGCCTATGGTTATGTTTTAAAGGCTCCCGGATGGTTGTGGTCCATCTGGGCCTGGAACTGGGCTTGGTTTGTCACCATCTCGTGTCATTCCTGCGAAGGATCTAGCCAGGGCGCACAGGCTCCCGGTATCTCCTGTCCTCTCCAGCCTCAGAGTCCTTGTCCACAGCCTGGGGCTGGGCAGAGGATTCCCTGCTCTCCAGTCTGACACCAAAGATTCTGTGCCTGTCGAGTCTGTGATTGACAGTGAGGCCTTTGGCGCCAGCTGTCAGGTTCAGGTCCTGGCTCTTCTACCTGCTAGCAAGTTATTTCAGAGCCTCAGTTTCCTCATCTGCACTATGGGCAGGACAGTAGGAGCTGTCCTGCAGGGTGACTGCGGGAATTAGCCATGCTCTTACACCCAGAGCGTCTAGGACTAGATCAGTGCTTTTCAGAAAAAGAGCTCAATGTGACTCTACAAAATTTCATTCAAGGTATCTCCAAGTCAGACCGGCGGTTGAGGTTGTAGAAAGTGTCTCCTTTTTGCTGAGGTGAAAATGGAGCTCTTTCCATATTGTGACCGTCCTTCCTTTGCCCGAGGCCCCTTCGCTGCCAGCCAGCTTTGCAGGAATGAGGGCGGGGGGGCCTGTGCTGACCTTGGGTCCTGGAGCACTGGCATCAGGGAGGTGCCCTGCCCCCCATTGCCTGTCTCTCCCCGGACGACCTCTTGGGGTCTGCTTGGAAGAAAGTACCCATTGAAGGTGCCGATGACATCCTTCTAGAAGAACTGAATTTTAGAAATCCGGGAGAGTCTTATGAAAGTCCCCAGCCGGCCCGCCCAGCCATGGGACCCGCTTCTGAAATTGTTCAGCGTGATTGGCTGTGCTAATGACATTCTCTTCAAGGCAAAGACAGTTGTCATCTCAGGTCTTAAGATGGAGGCACGTGGTTTCCATGAAAGATGTTAAGCTTGGGGCTCCTGCAGGTGCGTGGGTTTTTGTTTGCTTGTTGCTGGAATCAGAGTTCTAATGAAAGTTGGTAACAAACGAAAGAGCATGTGCGGTCCGTCTCCCTGCAGACTGAGCTGGAGTCCCTTTTCTTAAAGAAAAGAAGCAGCAGCAGCTGGTGTGTTTTCTTCCGGTTGTGCAGTGACCCTGCCCTGAGTATCTTGGTCGAGGCAGAGGTGTGAGGGTGTTGGAACCAGTGGGTGCAAGGCAGGCTCCTGCCGGGGACGCTTGGCAGAGGAGAAGCAGGTGTGCATTCTGGGAGCAGCTTGCAGTCACTCCTTTCTTTCCTTTCCTCTCTAGGAGTTGGAACTGAGTCATCCCTGCTACGTTCTAATGCAGAAAGCACTGCCCATCCTAAAGCTGCCCCCAGTTTTCACTGCACAGTACACGTGAACCACGGCCTAGTGCCACATCCTTGGCGATGGCTCACTGGCTCCAGCTGCGCCTCTGCCTGGATGCTGCTCATCTGAGCAGTTCCCCTAGCTCCAGGTTGTGCAGCCACTGCCCTAAAAGAAAATGAAAACGCATGTGGATGGGATCAGCTTGGTAAAGCCATTGACGAGGGATAACTCCCAGCCTCTTCGTCAAACAGCAGCTGTCTGTTGATGCCCCTCTTACCTGGTTCTGCCCCTAGACAAGCTTGGTAATGAATAATCAGTGGTTGGACTTTTTGGAGAACTGAGTTCTCCAAAGGGTTGGTTAAATGGAGGCCTTGGCCAGCACTTCTGCCCCAGTGTGTGGGAATCCTTTGCAAGTGGATGAGGGTGTCCTGTGGAGCACCGATTGGGACTGCCAGAGCCTGCCTGATGCTGAGTCGGGAACTTGGCAAACATTGAAGCTCTGTGTGGCTCGTAAATAAGGGTGCAGTGGGCCTGTCTGTCCTGAGTGAGGAAATGTCTCTGAGATACTTTTGAACCATGTGAAATTGCCATTTTTGTAGGTAAAAATGGTCAAACACTGACAATTTCATGTGGTTCCACTGAGAACTAAGAGCACTGCCCTGTAGCGTGATCGCAGTGGTGCACCGTGCGTGTGTGTAACACATGGAGCTGCAGGTGGGAGACCCACCAAGCTGTCCGCCTCTGGGAGAGGAATCGAGGACTGGATTGGGAAATGTTGCTAGTTTACTCTGAATCGGTATCTTTGGGCTCTTGCAGTAACCATGTCTTCATGAATCACTTGAGAATATAAAAATAGGGACTCAGAGAAGAACTGGGAAATGAGTGTGGGTCCCTGGCATCTACCTTCTCTACTTGAAAGGGTGCTGGCTGAGGTGAAGCCTGTGCGGGTTCTAGACCTTGAGAGATGCATTTCCTTCCCGCATGGACCAGAGACTGCACGGGGCTTTGGTGGGGTAAAGAGCTCTGTCTGCCTCCATCACAGAGCCGATGAGGGCCTGGTCCTTCCACATCCTCACCGCCCCACTCCCCTGCCCGTCCCAGGCATCCCACAGGGAGAGTGAGGAGGCCCTGCAGAAGCGTCTGGATGAGGTCAGCCGGGAGCTGTGCCGCGCGCAGAGCAGCCACGCCAGCCTCCGGGCGGACGCAGAGAAGGCCCAGGAGCAACAGCAGCAGATGGCCGGTGAGGGCGGCAGCAGTGGGGCCAGGGGGTCAGTGCAGGGTGCGGGGTCTGCATGCCGGCCCAGCCCCACTTCCAGTGCCAAAACTCAGTGGGTTAGGCCTGTTGGGTGAGGGCAGCACGGATATCTTGACTGCCACTCAGAAAGTCAAAGAGTAGGGGATTATGCCCAGTCTAGGGGCTGGCGGGGGGCACAGTTGGCTTGTAGGTGCTGTCCAGAGATGCAGAGGTGGAGCTGCGAGGATGGGACCTCCAGGGGCTAGAAGTGGAGGGGGCAAGGCCTGTGAGGGCCTGGTGTGCGTGGGGGTGGAGCCTGTGGGGGCAGAAGTCACTGCTTCCCTCCCACGCCTGGGTCCCCATTGGCTGTGGGTGAGCCAAGGAGGTCCTGAGGCATCTCAGCTAAATGTGTGTTCTGGGCCTTTCTACTCTCCCAACTCAGTCAGCTCTGGAGGCCAGGTGGGATTTACCAGCCTGTGGTTCCCTTGCTCCAGTTGGTCATGGAAAGGGTGACAGGAATGGAGGGCCAAAAGCCTCTGGAGAAAGGGAGCTGAAGGTGCCAGTGAGGGGCCCCACAGCCCTTGGCTCACCAATGCTTCCCGAGCCACTCCCCGGGCCAAGCACCACCGTGGCTGCCGGGCTGGGCTGGACTAGGGGGTACACAGCAGAGTCACCTGCAAGTACAGGGTTACACAGCAGGGCCGTCTACACAGGGACTGTATTCAGGGCAGGGTTGGCAACTGTTTCTGTGAGGGATGGATGGTGAATGCTTCTGGCCAGTCTCTGTCACAACTGCTCAGCTCTGCCACAGTGGTTTAGACTGGGCAAAAGTGCCCATTAACACTGGGTGAACAGGGGCCTGGCTGTGTTCAAAGAAAGCTTCATTGATACCACCTGGAAAAACGGAGGTTGGGAGGCACGGCCCCAGCTTGCCGGCCCCTGCTCCAGAGGCCCGGGCGTGGCTTTAGATTATGTGGTCCTGGAGACTCTGAGGCAGGAGGGGATGCATGGCAAGAGGCCGGCACAGGGCCCGGAGGTGGGAATGAACTGACTCGGCCCGTGTGAGAAATGGGCCAACAAGTGTGGCTGGAAGGAGAAGGCTGGTGGCGGGGCAGGGCCATGTCACCCTCCCTCTGAGGAGCTTGGGCACTGTGGAAAGTGTGACAGAAGTGCTTGGGGCAGGAGATGAAACGGTCTCATATGCGCTTCTGAACACTGGCACCAAGCGGAGAACAGACCAGAGGGGCAGGAGTGGCCCAAAGAGACAGGGATGAAGCCTTGCAGTTGTCGAGGCCCAAGGCAACAGGGCAGGGCCCAGGTGGCCACAGAGGTGCTACTGAGGAGGGCAACTTGGCAGATGGCAGTGTGGCCTCGTAGGCTTCAGCAGTGGGCGAGGGAGGAAGATGAGGAGTCCTGGGAGGTCGGGATGCTGGGTTTGCGTTGTCTAACTAGAGCTTCATTTAGAAGTGGCAGATGGCACAGCCTGGGGTTGGAGAGCGTGCAGCCTCAGAGGCACGAAGATGACACTTAGACGCACGGCACTGTCTGAGGTCACCTGGGGAGGAGGATACCTCAAGGGGAGAAAGGGGCCCAGGACAGAAAAGTCAGCCCCTGGCCTTTCTTGACTGTGAAGAGATCTTGGGGGTTGGGGGGGACCCAGCCAGGAAGGTGGGGGAGGTGTGGCAGTGGGATCCACTTAGCCACTTTCTAAAGAACTTCTGGTCTCAGTTAGTATGAGCTAGAGTCTTCTAGAAGATGAATCTTTAACAGCCTCAGCAGCAGTCCATTTCCAGTCTCCATCATTTTCTCATGAGTGGCCTGAGAGCGTTGCATTGTACACTGACAGTTCTCAGGATTGATGCCGGAGTGGCACTTTCTTCAACAGCTCACAAGAGGCCCCAGTGGTCAGTTGTATGTCTTAAGAGCCCCAGACCCACAGAGGAGGCAGGAGGAAGTCCTCTGTGCCCCGCGTGTGCTAAGAGGGCATCCCCCCAACCCACCCCACCCCACCCCTGGGGTTTCCTGCCTTTTAACTTCTCTTGTTTCCCTTCCTCTGTACCAGAGCTGCACAGCAAGTTACAGTCCTCTGAGGCGGAGGTGCGCAGCAAATGCGAGGAGCTGAGTGGTCTCCACGGGCAGCTCCAGGAGGCCAGGGCGGAGAACTCCCAGCTCACAGAGAGAATCCGTTCCATTGAGGCCCTGCTGGAGGCAGGCCAGGCGCGGGACGCCCAGGACGCCCAGGTCAGCCTCCTGCCTGGGGCTGCGGGGAGGAAAGGGAACTCCATCCAGCAGGTGGGTGGACTAGTCCCGCTGCATGAGATGAGTCTCCTGGAGACCAAGGAGCTTTTGTCTCTCATTCCAGGCCAGCCGGGCGGAGGCTGACCAGCAGCAGACTCGGTAAGCTGGAGAAGCGCCCTGCCTGCTCACTTGAGCCTCAGCGTGGGGGACCAAAGACCCTTGGGGACCAGGGTTTTCAGAAGGGTGCTCAGGTCCTCTGCAGAAGAGCCCCTTGCAGAGGCTCCCTTCCCTCCCCCATCCTCCCGGTGATTTAGAAGACGGGGCAGGCCTGAGCGGGGAAGCAGGCAGCCTTGCGGAGAGCTCCATGATCACACTCACGGAGCCAGATCTCATTGTTCTGGACTGGCCTCAGCCAGGGTGGGAGCACCCCCTGCCACCTGCCGTCCGTCCATCTACCCGTCCATCGCTTGTGGGAAGGGACTGACTCGTCAGAGGTTCTGTGTCTACAAGCAAGGGATTTTAGGGGCTGAGGTCAGGAAATGTAACAGGAAAAATGGTTGTACAACCCAGAATGGCGAACTCAGGCTTGCTGCCAGAGCACAGGTTTGAGGCGTTGGGGTAGAGCTGGCAGCGTCTCAGGGTTGTTTTCCTCCATCTATGAGTTGACTTCACGGCTGGCCAGACCTTGTTTTCCCTCCATGTCGTCAGCACCAGTGCCAGGCCATGCTCGGGTGTGTTTGCTGTTGCTAAGGCCGGAGCCAACACCTGGGTGGGGTGGCTCGAGCCAGGGGCCGGAGTCCTTGTGACCATCACTTCTGGGGCTCGCATCCTGTAACACATGCCCACAGTCTCGGGAGGCAGCTCCTGGCCACCGTGGCTAGGGGTCCATGAAGCAGCATGTGGGGGAGGCGTGGAGGATGTCCTACATTCCCTCACACGCGGTCAGATGTGTCCTAGGCCATCAGCTCACAAAGTTCCCTTGTCCTGGCCCTCATCACCAAAGAAGCACTTCCCCCAGTGCCTCTGAGCAGAGGCAGATCCCCGGGCCACAGCCCGTGTTCCCTGGCATTGGGCTCTGCAGCTTGGGGACTGGGAAAGGGAGCCAGCCACCCCGAGGGCCCAGAAAGACCCACAGCCAAACCTTGTCTACCTTCCTTTCCCAAAATGCATGGGCAAACTTTGTTTCTCCTGATGGTGTTTGTTGGGGTAGAGAGGTGGTTGTTTTGCTCTTGTGTTTTAAGATCAGATTCTTGGGCCACACAGCATATTACTAGGATAATTAACTCATGTTGCAATTAGGATCAATTTGAATTTTTTTTGCATCATGCAGATGTGTCTGGCAGAAATTGGTGGTTTTATTTCCTTCAAAAAGCTGATGTGAAAGCTGTGTGTGGGCTGGGTTATCCTGCTCTGGAGTAGAGAGGAGTGATTCAGCCCCAGATATTCTAGAACTCGGGCAGTGGCTGCCCAGGGGGTGATTGTCGACGTGTCCTTGCCACTGGCCTGCTGATGCCTCTTACTCGGGGTCTCATTCTTCTGGGGACACTCTTGGGGTGGTTTGCTGGAGGAGGCTGTCACATGATGCAGGGATTGGAGGGAAAAGCTGTGAGGGCCCCAGGAGAGCTCTGAGGGCAGGGTCATGATTCCGCCTCGCCTGATAACCCAACTCTCCGGTGTCACCAACTAGGGCTCTGGTGACAGCTCTGGGGTCAGTGGTCTGGATGGGTGGAGGGTGGGGGGCTTAAGGAGCTGCTCAGGCTTCCCTGGGAGCTCATGCTGGGTGAGGTGGGGGCAGCCGTAGGGGACTGTCTCTGGCCAGATGGTTCAGCCTCGAAGGTGCTCCTCCCTGGATGGGGCCTCAGGTGGGATCTGTGGGGGATGTAGCCCCTTGGAGCCTGGGCGGTGACCTCGCTGTGTCCCTTCAGCCTCAAGGAGCTGGAGTCCCAGGTGTCGGGTCTGGAGAAGGAGGCCACCGAGCTCAGGGAGGCCGTCGAGCAGCAGAAAGTGAAGAACAATGTGAGTGCGGCAGGCACAGGCGGGGATGGATGGGCCAGGGCAGCACAAGTAGGGCCGAGAAAGGTTCTGCGGTGTGGCACCCGCCCCGGACTCAGAGGAGGGCCAAGGTTGTGTTTCTACACCCTGTTGTGCTGTGGGGATCCAGGATGTGGGGGGTGCTTCTGCTTACCCCTGAGTTCCACCAGAGACCCAGAGCTGACCGCCTGTGGATCAGCCTGCGCCACTCGCTCAAGTGTGGAGTCATCCCTGGGGTGGGGACGGTGTGCCGGTGGCCTGGCCTGAGTCACGTGGTCGCCATAAGTGGGGATCCTGGTCCCAGGAGAAGGGGGTGTAGAAGCTGGGCGGGTGGCATGCCTGCTGTCCCGGTGTGGCCTTGGCCACACCCTCCTGCCCCCTTCTCACAGAGCCGGGTTTGCTGGCTGGCCCGGTTGCTCCCTGCAAAGGCTGCAGCTTCCCAAGGCAGGCTCTGGCCTTGGCCTCCCTGTGCCAGGCTCCGCCAGAGCTGGCCCGAGGGATCAGCACTAACCATTTGGTGGCAGGAACCTCCTCCCTCTGAGGTCACAGGCTGGCCCTCCCTCCTCCCTCTGAGGTCACAGGCTGGCCCTCCCTCCTCCCTCTGAGGTCACAGGCTGGCCCTCCCTCCTCCCTCTGGCTAGGGGTGTCTTCATCGAAAAGGCGCCACCTCTTCACCCTGTGCCACGCTACCCACCTCTGGCTGGGGCACCCAGGCCTTGTGTTCAGGCGCCATGGTCATGGGCCAAGGAAAGGGCATTTTGTCCCGTGGCAGGTCCTCTATGGGCCAGAGTGGCGTCAGGGAGGGTCTCTGGGCCCTGTCCTGTCTGACACCAGCTTAGGCAGCTCGTGGGGGTGTGTCAGTGACTGACCAGCGCAGGCTGCTGACCTTTCGCCTGTGTCCCCTCCAGGACCTCCGGGAGAAGAACTGGAAGGCCATGGAGGCGCTGGCCACGGCCGAGCAGGCCTGCAAGGAGAAGCTTCACTCCCTGACCCAGGCCAAGGTCAGAGCCCGGCCACACTCAGGCTCCCACCATGCAAAGTGCACTAGGCACACAAATGCGCTAAGACATACAGCTACCCTAGGACACAGTGCACTAGGACAGTCACACAGAGGCATTAGGAACGCACAGAAGCACTAGGACGCATAGACGCACTAGGACGCACAGACATGCTGGGACTCACAGACGCAGTAGGACAGACACACAGAGGCACTAGGATGTACAGACACGCTAGGACTGACAGACGCACTAGGACAGACACACAGGCACTAGGATGCGCAGATGCACTAGGACAGACACAGAGGCACTAGGACGTACAGATGCACTAGGACACACAGACGCATAGGTGCACTAGGATGCACTAAGTGCACACAGAGTGGCCTTGGCCTCAGAGCTCCTGAGTCCACACCAGACCCCGGCTCTACATCCGCCTCCCCCCTCCCACCTCCTTCCCTGCCCTCCTTCCCTTCTTCACTTGCTCCTTTCCCTGAGAGAGGGATGGGGGTGCCCCGCTGATGGGCTTCTCCGTGCTGATCCCTCTGGCTGAGGGTGCAGAGCTGCTGGGGTGGGACTGGAGACATGAGCCCGAGGCTGCACTGTCTTGGTGACCTGTTGTAGTGTTATTTCTGTTGTGTGTCCTTTTGTCGGGGTGATTCTGCTGCTTGGGCCTCTGGAGTTGTGGCCCAGGGGCTCCGGGAGGAGTATTTTTTTTTTTTTGAGACGGAGTCTTGCTCTGTCGCCCAGACTGGAGTACAGTGGCCAGATCTCAGCTCACTCCAGCCTCTATCTCCTGGGTTCAAGCGATTCTCCTGCCTCAGCCTTTCAAGTAGCTGGGGTTACAGGCGCCACCACGCCCGGCTAATTTTTGCATTTTTTGCAGAGATGGGGTTTTGCCATGTTGGCCAGGTTGGTCTCCAACTCCTGACCTCAAGTGATCTGCCTGCCTTGGCCTCCCAAAGTGTTGGGATTACAGGCGTGAGCCACTGTGCCCAGTCCCATGAAGAGTCTTTAAGTCCCAGAGGGGAGGACATTGTTTGTAGCGAGCACTCGGGGAACGGGGGCCACGTTGGCCCCGCGCTCTACACCGTCCAGGTGGGATGTGTGCAGGCGTCTCCCAGTGTCTGAGCCCACGGGTTGCCTCTGGGGCGCAGGGCTGTCCAGGAGCCAGTGAGGAGGCTCTGGCCGGGGGACATGGCCAGCCGCAGCCATAACTAAAGGCCTCGCCCACACTTTGAGGTCACACACAATTCCTACCTAATGAAAGGGCCTGGCCTCCCAGCCTCCCTCACGGGAATGTCTGCCCCAACGGCAGGAGCTTTGCAGCGACTCCCAGGAAGCCCGAGGGTTGTGTCAGATGAGGACCACTAGCTGGGGCAGGAGGTGAAGGATGGCCTCAGGCCACACTGTGAGAGCTATAGTTAGCCTCCTAGAATCTTGGCCTTGTAGCCTCCAGTGACCTCAGAAACTGTCTGGCTACCATGTGGTAAATGAAGCTGTGACCAGAGATGTCACCTGACTTGATTGTGGTCACACAGCCAGATAGAAGGTGGCCTCTGGGTCTCCAGCTTGCCTTGACTCACAACTGGAGGCCTCGGTGGTGGTGGTGAGGGCAAGGGTCCACATGGGGCACGGGCCCTACCTGTGCATAACTTGGCCAGCCAGGAAGAGCCCGCTTCTCAGGTGTGCGTCAGGCCAGAGGGCGCTGCGCTCAGGCTGGGTGTCCGATGGTCAGCATCCTCCGTGCACATTCCAGGACTCTGCTCGGGGGAGTTACACTCCATCGACTCTGATCCAGGTGGAGTTCCTGAGGCCGCCCTGGGTCTCAGGCCAGGCCTGTCCAGGTGGTGGCAGGGCCAGACACAGGCTGGACCCCAGCAGCTGTCCCCTCGGGGTGTGGGAGGGCCCACCTCTCTCCCTGGGGACACTGTGGTCCTAGGCTTTGCTTCGGGGTTCCCTCGGGCCCCCTTTGTTTTCTTTCTTTGCTGTGCTTAGAATGGGGGCCGCTGGCTCTTCGTCCAGGAGGATTCAAGGGGTATCCGACCCAGCATGGCACAGGGTGCAAAGTCCCTGCCTCCTCTGAGTCGGCTTCTCTCTCTGCAGAGGGGGAATGTTGATCCTCCCTCTCCAGGGTGGCTGGAGATGAGCCTCTCTGAGAGGTTGCCCCTTCCTGGCTGCCACTAACGCTTAACCATGGTGCCGCCAGCAGACGTACCCCCCATCCCCATCACAGCTCTAGATTCCAGAACATTGGAGGCCATGAGTGTCCTCCTATCCCCTTTTCCTGCCCTGGCTCCCACACATCAACCAGGCCCCCCCCGCCAAATTCCCACACACATGCACACACACCCAGAGAGCTCAGGAGATGAGAGCTGGTGGAGACCCCGTCCCTGCTGGGAGATGTCCCGGGAGCTGGCACTTGCCATCTTGGCCTGACGCAGTATGCTGCTTTCATCAGAGCTCAGTGTGTTTGAAATGGGCCGGACACAGGCTGGGTAACCCTCTGCTTACAGTCAGCCTCGTGGAGCCTCATCTGCTCCTTTGATTCTTGTCACTTCCCTGAAGAGCTGAGGATGTGCCATTTCTGGGGCAGAGACCCGGGCATATCAGTGAGACCTGGGGAGGTGCCCCACATCTCCGCAGCTGAACCTTCTGCTCTTCCCCGCCCCCACCCCAGGAGGAATCGGAGAAGCAGCTCCACCTGATTGAGGCACAGACCATGGAGGCCCTGCTGACTCTGCTCCCAGAACTCTCTGTCTTGGCACAACAGGTAGGAGGGGAGGGTGGTTCCCGGGGACCTCACGGTTCCCAGGGAACGTCCCTGGGTCTCACTGAATGTGTTTTGTTGCAGAATTACACCGAGTGGCTGCAGGATCTCAAAGAGAAAGGCCCCACGCTGCTGAAGCACCCGCCAGCTCCCGCGGAGCCCTCCTCAGTATGTGTGGCCGCCTGGCAAGGGCCCTCTGTCGGGCTGCCCGTCCCCAGGAAGAGGGGCTGCCCCGAGTTGTTTCAACGGGAAGCCAAGAGAAAAACCTCAGTGTGTGGCTAACGACACCTGTTCTTCCCTCTCTCAGGACCTGGCCTCCAAGTTGAGGGAGGCCGAGGAGGCGCAGAGCACGCTGCAGGCCGAGTGTGACCAGTACCGCAGCATCCTGGCGGAGACGGTGAGCGCTGGGAACCTGTCAGCTGGGCATCCCTGGGAGGCTGCCGGGAAGGAGAGCCTCAGGGCCTACGGGGCAGGAGGTGGCCTGGTGTGTTGGAAAAGCCCACTGGCCTTGTGACTCTGGGCCCCGTTCTTTGGCTGCATGGCAAAGGGAATGGATGGTGCCCTCTGAGGTCATTGTTTCTAAGCTGAGGAGAGGGCCGGGGTGAAGGTTTGGGGCCGGTCTCTGAGCAGGGGAAGGAGAAGGATGGGGTAAGCAGCTGTGACGGCCAGGTTGAACTCCCTTTCTTCGTGACTCCAAGAGCAATGCCAAGTCCAGCCCTGCCACTCTCTGGCTGGCCCGTCCCGTGCTCCTCATCCCGGGCCACTGACACACTTGGTGCCGGTGGCAAAGCCCGGCAGTGACAAGCGTCCTAGTGGTCCCGTGCAGGTCACAGACCTTGTTTCCTTGAGTGGCACTGCAGCCACCCTGGCCCACTGGCCAGAGGACCTCCCTCCCAGGACAGTGGCTGCCTTCCCTCCCCACCTAGTGCTGGCGCTCAGGAAGTCACAGCAGGGGAAGCACGGCAGGTGACCAGGGCTGCAGGGACAGGAAGATGTGGTTGTGTGGTGCGGGTGCCGGGAGGGAGAGGGCCCTGCCTCACCTCGGTTTCCCCCAGGAGGGCATGCTCAGAGACCTGCAGAAGAGCGTGGAGGAGGAGGAGCAGGTGTGGAGGGCCAAGGTGGGCGCCGCGGAGGAGGAGCTCCAGAAGGTATGTGCCGCCCTGCCTGCCTCCCGGCACCGTGGAGCACATGAAGCCCGGGGGAGAGTCGACAGGGTTGTCTGTCACCTGCGAGACTCGTGTGTCTCGGTGGGGCTTTTCCACGACTCTGTGAAGCACAGTTGCGGGATGACAGCTCAGCCCGTCCTCCAGGAGGCCACTGCCTAGGAAGGCGCTGCCAGATGGTGCCAGGGTGACTGTCCCAGCTGGGTGGGGTGGGCACCCCTGGGGCTTCCTAAGTTGGGTCAGTCCTGCTCGGGTCCCAAGATGGCCTCGGAAGGAGACACCCCTGGGCGCTCATGTCTGACGGAGCCTTTCCCTTGCTTTGTAGTCACGGGTCACAGTGAAACATCTCGAAGAGATTGTAGAGAAGCTAAAAGGAGAACTTGAAAGTTCGGACCAGGTATGTGGGGGCTCAGAGAACTCTTTCTCTTGTCCCCAGAGCCCTTTGAAAGTGACATTATTGCAGAGGGCACTTCACTTACTTGGACCGTGTGCCTTAAGGGAGGCATTCTCTCTCAAGCCCAGGGATCTTGTCCGTCCTGTTTTTCCTTAATGAGAGACATTTACTACCTCAGAGGACCCTGAGACAGCCGCGGGCCCTGTGCAGACCTGCCCAGCCCTGGTGAACAGGGCTCCTGCCACGGCCTTTTACGGTCAAGGTGACCCCACTGCCCCCTTCAGACGCCACAGGGAGCCCTGGAGAAGGTACCCTTGGTACCTACCTTTGCGAGTAAATCTAAGAGCATGTCAGCCTCCAGGAGTGCTCAGGTGCAGCCTGCCACTTGCAGTAAGGGGTTTTCTTGCCGCTGACTAGTTTCTCATTCGCTTGGTAGCTGATGGGCCTCAGGGATCTCCCGACAGCCCTCACCTATCCCAGGGCCAGTCTGCTCCCTGGGGTTAGTGCCCTTTGAGCAGAGGCTGCTGGCGCATGTGTGTGCCTGTCTGTGTGTCTGTCCAGGTGAGGGAGCACACGTCCCATTTGGAGGCAGAGCTGGAAAAGCACATGGCAGCCGCCAGCGCCGAGTGCCAGAACTACGCCAAGGAGGTGGCAGGGGTGAGTCTGCCCCCTGAGGAGTGCAGCCCCTGCCCAGCAGAGCTACGGTCCTCCCTGAGCTGCTTCTCCTCAGCCCTGTGGGAGCAGCTCTTGTTGACATAAGCCTTGAAGTCCGAGTCCTCACGGATTTGCCCGAAGCCTTGCAGGCCCCTTGTTGGGCTGTCAGACCTGAGGTGTGTCTCAGGGCAGGTTTCAAAAAGGCAGCCTCCCAGCCAGGGCAGGGGCAGAGCCAGGCAGCCCTGCCCTGAGGGAGGCATTTGGCATTTTAGGTTATCCCTCCACAAGGGGATTCTCTGCCTGGCTTGCTGATATCGTATCTGGTGGGAAGTGGATTTAGATCTGATACTGTTTTCTGCTCTTCAGAAGCAGAAAGCACAAATCCAGCATCCCATTCTGGTTTAATCTCAAACTTTCGGGCCAGGTACAGCGGCTCATGCCTGTAATCCCAGCACTTTGAAAGGCTCAGGTGGATTGCTTGAGGCCAGAAATTTGAGACCAGTCTGGGCAACATAGCAAGACCCCATCTCTACCAAAAAAAAAGAAAAAAAAATTAGCCAGGCACAGTGGTGGGCACCTCCAGTCCCAGCTGCTTAGGAGGCTGACACAGTAGGATTGCCTGAGCCCAAGAGTTCAAGAACAGCATGGACGACAGATTGAGACCATCTCTGAAAAACAGAAATCTCAAACTTTTGGCCCTTTTTTGCAAGAGATAATCAATAAACATTTGTGAAGGTCTGAAAGAGGTGTGCAGTGAACACCATTCTTCGCAAGTCCTCAGAAAAGAAATTGTAGCTGTAGGAAGCCTGGCGAGCCCTGTGCCCTCCCGATTCTGTGACCCTCCTCAGGGCTCTGGTTAAGTGGATGTATTAGGTTTTATGTTTCGGCGCTAACTCACGGGGACTGGTTTTCTCCTTTTCTCTCCTTTCTTCCCATCACCTGCCTCTGTTTTCTTCCCAAGCTGAGGCAACTTCTCCTAGAATCTCAATCTCAGCTCGATGCAGCCAAGAGCGAAGCCCAGAAACAGAGTGATGAGCTTGCCCTGGTAGGTGGCCTTCATGTCCCCATGCCAGGAGTGTGACCTGGGGTGTTGCGTGTGTGAGATGCATTTGCCAGTCATGCGTCTGTGTCCACTCAAAGATAAACAAAGTCTGGGGAAGGGACAGTGTCACCCGTTGAGCAGCATGGGGCCAGCTTCTGGGGGCCTTCTTGCACATTCGCCCAGAACTCTGAGCTGGGCCTGTGGCTGTTGGGACCAGCGTGCTCCCACTCCATCTCCTGTCCCCTGGCTACCTGGTCCCCTGTTCAAGGTAGTGAGAGCTCTGGGTGTCCGCACTCCCTGTGAGCCCATTGTAGTCAGCTGGGGGCGTCAGGGACATTGCAGTCCCTGGCGTCACAAGACCAGGAAGCCTGGGGGTTCCTCCTGACCTGGCCACCCATCGCCCTGGGGCTCTCAGCAAGTCCCGTGCCTTCTGTGGGTTTTTCTCACCTCAGTGACAGCTCAGATCAATTCAGTGAAAGTCACAGGCATGCAGGGAAGACCTGCTCCACGCCCGGCCCGGTGCCAGGTGCAGAGAGCAGCCCCGTTGGCAAACCACAGGAGCTCTGCCTGTGCAGGCGGCCTCTTGAGTCCCTCCTGGGATTCAGCTCAGGTGTCTGATGCCAAGTCCCAGCTCCTTGGCAGATTCCACCCAGCCTCACCGGATCTGGTACCGCCCCAAGACTGGTGCTGTGCGCAGCACCCTGGGAGGCTGCAGACATGTTCTGTTTGATCTGCAGTGTTTTTTTAAATCTTGAATTAGTTGTCAACAGGGAGAAATTGGGAGATTTTAAATAAAAATGGGCTGGCATTCCCCCTGCAGCAGCCGGTGAGTCTGGCACACGCTCCCAACACCCTGGGTCTCCCCCTTGGTCATTCGGGTCTTACCCGGGCCAGAACACCAGAGGGCAGTGCTGCCCAGGCCAGGTCTCCTGTGTCTAGGGGCCACTCACTGAAGCCTTGGCTGAGCAAAGTCTGGGTGACAGGCCCTGGGGGCGTGGCCCAGGCCGGGGGTGTGCAGAGAAGCCCCCCTGGAGTTTGTGTTGTCTTCCAGCTGTGCAGTTTGGCATTTGTGTTGGGAGGGGCTGTTCAGAGGGAGGGAAGAATGTGTGGGGTTCCCACGTACCTGGGGTGGCCCCTCAGCGCAGGGCCTGAGACCACCCATGTTCCCTGGGGAGCTTATGCCAAGGGCCCCACCCAGGTCTCCAGTTGGAACCTCTACCCCAGCCTCTCGAGTGACACCTGCCCTTCAAATTGCAGGCCCAGTGGTTTGGGGGCAACCAGATATGTCACCCACTCCCGGTGATGGAGCTCAGGGATAGGGGGACCTTGTTAGGCAAGAATGTCATCTCACAATGTTTTCTAGACCCCAGAAAGGGCTCTGAGCAGTGGACTGCGTCCTTGAAGGAGAAACGGGGAGTGTAGACAGCGTGGCGGCCACCCCCCCGTTCCATTGGGATTCATTTGCTCTGTGGGCCGTGCTCGTCAGGGCTCCCCTCACTCCCAGGGAGGGCTCCCCTCTGGCTGGGCTTGGAGCAGAGCACATGGGTCTCATTAGCCCAGAGGTTTGGTGGCCTTGGTTTGGCTCAGGTTGGCGCGGGGTCTGGGGGAGACCCAGACTTAAGTCACAGTTACCAAGCCAGGTCCCCTGAAGGAACTTTGGCTGTCGAGAGCAGCCACGGTCCTCCGAAGGGGTCCCTGCAGGAGTGAGCATGGTAGGTGTGCGACTGGCCGTGCATTTGCAAACCACCCCTTCCTGTTCCAGGTCAGGCAGCAGTTGAGTGAAATGAAGAGCCACGTAGAGGATGGTGACATAGCTGGGGCCCCAGCTTCCTCCCCAGAGGCCCCCCCAGCCCAGCAGGACCCTGCTCAGGTTAGGGTGGTGAGCCGGTCCCCAGACACATCACTAACCCCAGGAAGAATGCAGGTTCTGCTGCCCCTGTTCTGACTAAACCCCGCACCGGCTGCTCCGGCCTCCGCTGCTTCTCCATCCCACCTGCTTTGCCCCGTGGGGGTCACCCAGGTTCGGAGAATGCCGCAGAGCACGGGACAGGAAGGTGGCCAGGTGGAGAGGCTGGAGGAGTGGGGGGAGGTAGGACTCGAAGAGGGAGTCCGCGATTTGGGGTCTGCACCTACTGGGCTGGGAGAGCAGCCCTGGGCAGGGTCTGCAGCCACCGAAGGGGACTGTCTCCCACTGCAGCCCCGGCTGGGACATCGCTAGCAGGATATTCACCCTCCAGAGTTTTGAGCCTGGCGATAGCCACCACGAGCCCTCACCGAGAGGCAGGGCTGTCCCTGGGGTGGCCGCGGTGTGGCTGCTGGGGTTGTGGCCGTGGGGCCGGGGCTCGGAGGCATCTTTCTTGTCCTGTGAGTCTCATTAAAGGCCCCTGAGGTTGCAGAGGCCCCATCGGCTGCTCCTGAGCCACACCCAAGTCTGTACCAGGGGCTAAGGTGCCATTTCCCCAGCGAGGGGAGCACTGGGCCAGGAAAGGGGAAGCTAGAAGCAGCGAGAGAGCGGGGCCTGTGCTGGAGCCCTGGGCCCCGGAAAGTTCCTCACCGGGTTGCCGGCTTATGTTTGTGGTGTTTGCACAGCTGAAGACGCAACTGGAGCGGACAGAAGCCATCCTGGAGGATGAGCAGACGCAGCGGCAGAAGCTCACGGCCGAGTTTGAGGAGGTCAGGCCCTGCCTGGTGACTCTCAGCCCCCATCAGTCCCTGGGCCCTGAATCTCCAGGGAACAAGTGGGTCAGCCCTGCCCCCCTCGGCTGTGCCCAGCAGCACCTGGCTGGGCCTGGGCCTTGGCCTTCTAGGCAGCAGTGGATGGGGCCCGGGCAGGTGGAGCACAGGCTGGAGGCGCCTTGGGAGCCCTGTGGGTGGTCTGCATCCCTAAGGAGTCTTGAGGGCCTGGGGCTGGGGTCAGGACTGGTGAGTCCGGCCCACTCATTCCAGCTACAGGATGGAGCTGTTGCTCCTCAGGCTGGGGGTGTCCTCTGGTCCCCAGGCGTGCTCAGTAGGGTCTTGACAGCACAGCCATTTGTAAGACGTCTCACTTCCCTCTCTGGCAAGGCTCAGACCTCGGCGTGCCGGTTACAAGAAGAGTTGGAGAAGCTCCGCACAGCCGGCCCCCTGGAGTCTTCAGAAACAGAGGAGGCCTCCCAGCTGAAGGCAGGCAGGGGCTGGGGCGGGGCTCACACCTGTGGGGTCTGCTCTGGGGCTGGGGCCACTCTTGGCCTCGGAAAGGGGCCAGGAAGGGGAGAGCCGACCCCGCCGGGATCTGCCCTCGGCACTGGTTCCCCTTGTCACTCCCCGGGGCTGGGGTGGGGGCTCCTAGCCCTGCAGTGTCACATGGTGACATGGCAGCCATTAGTCCGGGTGGCTGTTGAAATGTGAATCATGGAGAACGTGAAGTGCGTTCCTCAGCCACGTGTCTGGCGCTCAGTAGTCAGGTGTGTCTCCTGTGCTGCCTCGGACAGTGCAGAGTAGACGGCTCCTGCCCCAGGAAGGTCTCCTGGTGGTGCTGAGAGCGCAGGACACAGCCTTGACGGGCAGCATGGGCGGTTTCCTCCCTGTGGTCACCACCTGTCTCTGGGTGACCAGCAGTTGCCTTCCTTGTGTCCCCAGAGGGCTCCAGCCCCTGGCATCAGGGTCCTGTGGGCATCGCTGGGGTGGCCCTCCCGCTGGTGCAAGGGCTGACCCCCGTCAACCTTCTGACCATCAGGAGAGACTAGAAAAAGAGAAGAAGTTAACAAGTGACCTGGGACGCGCTGCCACCAAACTGCAGGAGCTTCTGAAGACGACCCAGGAGCAGCTGGCAAGGGAGAAGGACACAGTGAAGAAGCTGCAGGAACAGCTGGAAAAGACAGTGCGTGCCTGGCCCCAAAGCAGGGCGGGAGGAGCCCGAGCTGCTGGGAGCACTGGGCCGGGAGCCCCAGGGGAGGCAGGACCGGGAGAGGCAGAGCTGGGCGGAGGTAGTGGGGACAGAGGCTTCCTAACGAGTGCTTCAGCCCACCCAGCCCAGCACCCACCCTTCTGGGGTTCCCTTGCCGGTCCCCCTGCTGGCCCAGGTCTTCACTTTGTACCTGTGTGGGCCCCTTAGCCAGCGCCCCAGCCCCTGCCCTGCAGGATGATGGTTTCCCCTCGGCTCCCACCAACTCCTCCCTGTCCCCCAGCCCCGGTGGTCTGTGGCTCCTGTTCTCCGAGGGACTGGAGTGGCTTGAGGGGGTCAGTCCAGGGAGGGACCGATGGCCCAGGGGGAGGGCAGGGGGTTCTGCTGTGGCTCGTGGCCCAGCCCCCCTTCACGCCACCTGCCTTCGTTCACAGGAGGACGGCAGCAGCTCAAAGGAGGGCACCTCTGTCTGAGTCTCCTCTGTGGAAAGAGAAGTTACTGTTCAACTTACCAAAATGCCTTACACATTCCTTACAAATACACCGACCAACCTACACAGCGTTATCCAGGCCCAACTTCCGGTAGCTCCGAGCGAAGCCATGAGAGACCAGAGTCTCTTACAGCCACAGAAGTAGACCTTCCAGAGTCCCCGTTTGTAAACGAACCTGTGTCACGTTTGATAAACACTATCCTGGGCGCAGCCCTGGGCCACCACCGAGTGACGCCAAAGTCCTGGTTGGCTCTGACAGCCCCGTGGGTGTGTGGGAGGCCGGGCACTCTGGGGTCTGTCTGTCAGTGCAATCGTTTCGTGTTTTTTCAGCGGGGCGGGACGGGAAGCGGGTGGGACCGGGCAGCCAGTTCTCGAAGGCTGTGGGGCCGACTGGAGGCCACAGCCCCTCACCCCTAGACATTGCCAGCGAGAACTGACGTGCGACCTCCTGGGTGTTGATGCCATTAAAACCAACGTTGGTGCCCGGTGCTGTGGTCTCGTCTGGTCATCTGCTGGGGCTCCCCCACCCACTGGTGGGCCCAACATGAAGAACCAAGGGGTGGGGGCGTCCTCGGGGAGAGAGCAAGTGTGGGCCTCAGTTGCTTTGAAGGCAGGGTGTCTGCAGCTCCGCGTAGTGTGGGGCTGAGACTCGCTGCTTCTGGGGCCCCCAGCAGTTTTCCCTGTCACCTCCCAGACCTCAGTGCCCTCCGGGCAGGATAAGGGAGCAGGGCCTGCTACGCCTGAGAGCCAGACACATTGACTGCTGTCCCGCATCCCGGAGGGGCTGAGGTTTGTGAGTGCGGCTGGTGGTCTGGGCTGCTGTGTGACGGAGGTCTGGGAATGCACAAGGGGTCTCTGTCCTGGCTGGGGCTTGAACAAACACCCACACTCCAAGAGGGTGGGCCAGGGCTAGAGCAGCCCACCGCCTGCCCCTGGGAGGCAGAGTTTCACCTGCAGAAGCCAGCTTAGGTTTGCCACGACCCTCAGACCCAGTGTCCTCAGCGGCCCCTGACAGCGTGGTCCTTGGCCCCAAGAAGTGTGTGTCTTTGAGTGTGAGCAATAGGAACCTGGAGCTTAGTCCACGAAGAGACGTCAGAGGCTCAGTCACAGTAGGGCCCCAACCAAGTCCGGAATGGAAGGCGGGTCTACCTTGACCAAGGACTGTTCACTTGCATCTCCCTGCCAAGCCTCAGAATCTTGGGAGAGGGTCTGCTTGGCCGAACTTGACTGGGGGACAACTGGGCTCTTGGATGGCAGGTCCTGCAGGATGGCATTGTGAGAAGGGTGCTGTCGGGGACAGTGGCAGCAAGAACCGGGGTCTCCACAGCCTACGAGCATGGCAGGTGGCCTGCTCTGGGATCTCTGTCACACGTGGCCCTTTCAGTTGATGGCAGTGACTCGGGGGTGGTTTTCACAACCTCAAGACCTAGGGAGGCCCTGTGGTGTGCATCTGTCTGCCTCCCTTGCTCAGCCCCCCACACGGCCTCTGCCTGCAGCCTGGGACTGCTTAGCCTCAAACTGCTCGGCCCAGCCCTGGCGCCAGCTCTCAGGAAGTGCCTGTGGGCCACCCAGCCGTGGTGTGTGGCTGTTCTTGGTGCTGGGAATCCTGGGAAGGTCCCTGGAGAAGTGGGCTTAAGCTGAGCTCCCAGGAAAAGCAGATGTGTGTGAGGTGAGGGAGGCTGGCACTCAGGCAGCAGCAGCATAGAGGCATGGAGGGGGGCCAGGTTACCAAGGCCAGGGGGGCTGGACCGGGGAGGCAGTACAGCCGTTGAGGTTTCTGAGTAGGGAGAGCCAAGCCTGCCTGTTGTAGAACTCTAGAGGAGGCTGAAGCAGAAAGGGATCCCACGGTCTTGGAACATTGACATCCTGGCTTCTGGCTGGGGGACTGAGTAGCAGTAAGTGCCTGCAAGGACACCTGATGGCTGCCCGTTCCCAGCCCTGTGCCTGGCGCTCAGCGAGCCCTCGGTCCTCCCGGTGAGGTGCACCCCGCCCCCCTCCCCGGGCTAAAGGCTGGGCAGGTTCAAAGCCACCTCTCTGACACGTGGCTAGGCCCCACAGCCTGGGAGGTTAGTACTTGCGGGGCAGTGCTGGGCTCTGGAATGTGGGGAGCCTGGGGAAGAGCACCCGGGGCTGAGTGCCCCGCAACAGCCACTGGGCCCTCTGCGTCTGCACCCCCATGCGTCTAGTACAGGGGGCTGAGTGGGAGCACAGGTTCTGGGTGAGGGAGGCCGCCTGCAGGAGGCAGAACCCCACATGTGGGTGGCCATAGGTCAGGTCAGTGGTGTGGGCCCCGGTGAGTGTGGGGAACAGGCAGACCTGTGTGCTAAGCAGGGCTGCCACTGAATCGCCCCATTGACCTGCCACACCGCGAGACTGAGCGCCCCATGCTGGGCTGATGCCCTTTGAAGGCACAGGAGTGGGGCAGGGGTACTCATTTTGAGCAGAGGAAAGGGTAGACCTTGGTGAAGGAGAAGGGATGCTGAGGTGCCACGCTGCCGCTTCTGTGGCCACCTGCTAGGAGCCCCAGGTCTGTGCATGCAGAAGGGAGGAAGCTGAAGGCAGGTAGCACAGGGTGTAGGACTCCTGTGCGGCTGGCCCGGGAGTTCAGGAGAATGCCACTTGGGAGCTTTTCTCCTGCAGCTCCAGTTGTAAGGGCTCATCACCTGTTGTCCCCACCTGCCCCAGCAGGGCCAGAGCAGTCCTTAGGCCCAGCAGTGGGCAGAGGGAGCCGAGTCTGCCAGGCTGCCGGCTGGGCCCTGCCTCAGGTGGGCCTGGCCTCAACTGTCCCAGACCAGGTTCCATGTCAGGCTCTGGGGAAGCCAGCTGAGGCGCAGCCCTCACAGACTTCGTGCAGAAGGGGCTAGCAGCCTTCCCAGCCCCACGGCATTCCCTAGCATGGCACAGGTCACTGGCCTGGCCATTCGCAGCCCCGTCTTACAGCTGTAGCCGAGCTCAGGCAGCACCAGAGGACTGGCTCGTGCTGTTCCTGGAATGAAGTTCACTTGGAGGCAGGACTCACCCAGCTGCCACCCAACAGACGAACCACTGCTCCTCCCTGGCCTGGCTTCCCAAAGCTAGACCCTGGGTTTGGGCCGTTGGGTGAAGATGACCAGAGCCCACAGAGTAGATGTGAAGTTCAGGTTAACGTGGCCCATAGACAGCACAACGGGACCTGAAGCCCCTCACAGACAGCTGCGCTCAGACGAGCTTCCTCAGGTCGTCTCCACGTGATACTCTGGAACACAGGCACCACAATGCCGCGCCTGCTGGCCGCACCTATGGCACCCCGAGAAGGAAGGGGTGCGGAGAAGGAGGCTGTGCAGCGAAGGCAGGGAGCCAGTGAGGCCTGAGGGACAAGTGCGGGGAAAGCGAGGTTTTGTTATAGAAGCCACTCCAGGCCCTCCGCAGATGCCATCACTGCGCTTCCTTCAGGGCTGGGTCTGACAGGAGCTCAGAGCCCAAAAGAAATGCTTTCCGTCTTGGCCCTTTCAAATCTCACCCCAGCACTGAACAAGGCCTACCTAACCTTTGAATTTCCGATGTTAGAAGTGTTGTGGAAAGATGATCCAGTTATAATAAATGAATTCTCCTGAGGTGTTGAGAATAGCTCAGGAACAGAAATGAAGAGGTCTGAGTTTTTGTCCCAGTTCTGCCACCTGTGAGTCGACTAACCTTAGGCAAGTTACTTCACCTCTGTGCTGGTTACTGAGGGTACTGGCCAGAGGCTCTGTAAGTCCCTTCCCCAGTGCCTTTTTGGGACTGTGCGGAACCCAGAGAGCCCTCAGTAACAAAACATGGTACTCAAGCCTGCCTTCCACTGAAACCCTGGCTCCTGGAATACTCCCCTTGCCGGCCATAATGCCATTACTGTCCCTTCCAGCTGCAGCCCAGCTGGAACCCAGTCTAGAGCCCGTTCTCAATTTCAGAAATGCCCCAAATCACGAAGAAGTGATGTGTTGGGCGTATTCAGTCTCTGGTGGTCCCAAGGGCAATTATAGTCAAGAAACAAGTTGCACTTGCTGGGCTACAGCAGCCAGTACTCTGCAGAAAGGAAACCACCAAACGAAACCTATGATCCAAGTCACTTATGTCCACTGTTTTTGCAGAGTAATATTGTCTGAGATAACTTCACAGTCAAGCTCTGATTGAATTGTTAGCAATGGCTTTATTTGCTGCTTTGTCAGGCCAAGAGAGTAACCGCTAGATGAGACTAAGTCAGCTTTCCACAAATATATTTTTGCAGTGCGTTAGCATTTGTGAAAAGGTAAACGTATTTTCTGGAAGCAGAGTATACTTCAGTTTTGTTCCTGACCAACAGCAGACCAATCAGCTGAGGTCTGAACCCTAATTTTGTACCAGAATCACCCTGAGTGCTTGTGAGCACAATTCTTGGGCCTCAGGAATCCACTAAGACTTTCTCAAAAGTTCCCCTAGAGAAAGAGTAACTACTGGCATTTTATTCAATTTCTGGAATGAGTTCTAGATGTTTACATCACATCTCTTTATACTGTTTGAAATGCTTCCCACAGAATGCACCTCACACACGCACAACAGTGCCACACTTAAGCCGACACCACAGGAAAAATTTCCTCCTCCTAAAACTCCCTGACGAAATATCTGGCTTTACCTACATGGCTGACTTTTGAGTACGGCAGTCTTGGACTTACGGCACCTCCCTGGAAGCCTGTTAATCACTAGCAGGACACGGTGGCTCACACCTATCATCACAGCCCTTTAGGAGGCCAAGGCAGGAGGCTTGCTGGAGCCCAAGAGTTCAAGGATGCAGTGACTTATGATTGCACCACTGCACTCTAGCCTAGGGGAAAAAGACCCTGTCTCAAAAAACAAAACCCACACTAAAAGCACTGCTACACAGTAAAGAAACAAATTCAGGATGAATGACAAGCAGCCAGCACTATTTTCTAGACAATTCTGAAATAAGTATTTTGATTAAAGCATAACCTTGTCTCACAAAAGCCTGGCACGTGGATCAACATTAAAACGTTCCCCATCCTAGACTGCACTTACACAAACCTAGATGGCATAGCCTACTACACACCTAGGCTGTATGAGAGCTTATTACTCCTAGAGTACAAACCTGGACAGCATGTTACCATACTGAATACTGTAGGCAACTGTAACACAATGGTATTTGTGTATCTAATTACAGTAGAAAATACCTTGTAATTATATGGGACCACCATAGTTTATGTGCAGTCTTTGACATGTAATAATGCAGAGCTGTGTATCAAAAGGCTAACCATGTGATGGTGTGGTAGGACAATGTACAATTTCCCTTTTCTCTATTTTCTAAATTTTAAATGAGAATTTTTACCTTTACAATTTTTACCTTTACAATTTTGTGTAATAAACATTGAAAAATAAACATTGAAAAATTTCCCAACTTTTACACCAACTTTCTTATTCACCAGAGGGAGTTGTGACTTTTTCTGAGACAAGGTCTTGCTCTGTCAAACAAGTTGGAGTA